TCCACCTTTCACCTCCTCCGCCTCCTCCTTCTCCTCCTCCTCCTCCTCCTCCTCCTCGTTCTTCTGGTTCTCTTCTTTTTTTTTTTTTTTTTTTTTTTCTCTCTCTCTTCTGGTTTCTTATCGATGGCATTCACGTCACTGGAAAAGTAGAAGCAAAATGGGAGAGGATGGGTGTACACGTGTGGCGATGGGACAAACTACACATATGGGCGTCGCTCCATTTCACAACACTGTATATGTATCTGTAGCTCCTAATCGTCCCAATGCATTCAGAATTTTCGGCTCTTTTGGACGCACCTGGTCCAGAAAGGCATCCAAATGCATGTAGATTGTTGCGTGCTGGACCGAGGCCCTTTGTCTTTGAAACTTAATCGATCTGGACAACAAGGTGATGATGATTGTGAGGATGACGATGGTGGCAAAGACATGAGGCATGGATGGGTAAACAGCCCTGTGAAAAGACAAAGAGCAATCAGTTGATGATCTGATGATATACGGTGAGTTGCTCCTGCTGCTGCTGCTGATGAGCTGCTGCTGCTGCTGCCGATGATGATGATGATGATGATGATGATGGTGATTTGATGATGATGACGATGATAATGATGTGATGATGATGTTAATGATTTGATGATGATGATGATGATGATGATGATGATGATTAGATGAGGATGAGGATGATGATATAATGATGATGATGATTGAAACCCGAATTTGATAATGATTTGATGATGATTTGATGATGATGATGATGATGATGATGATTCGATGATGATGATGATGATGATGATGATGATGATGATTCGATGATGATGATGATGATGATGATGATGATGATGAAAGCCCGAATTTGACTGCACCTGACTTGCTGCCTGTGTCAGGGACGTGAGTTATCCCCAGACATTTACTCCATGAGAGCAGGCAGAGGGGGACCACCACCAACGTCAACTGCACGTGGCTTGAGATAAAAATAACGGCCTTCGGATTTGACACGTAATTGAATTGGTGGGGCTTAACAGAATTGGCCTCTTTAGAAAAAAAAAAAAAAAAAAAAAAAAGATTAGAAAAGGAAAAGAAATGAAAGCCGTCAGGTCGCAGGTTCAAATCGCAGAGGTCCGTCACTCAGAAAAGAACCTCCGACCTGACGGCTGTCATTTCTTTTCCTTCTCTAATCTTTTTTTTTTTTTCTTTTCTTTTTCAAAGACCAATTCTTTTTTTTTTTTTCTTTTCTTTTTCAAAGACCAATTCTTTTTTTTTTTTCTTTTTCCCAAAGACCTACAGCAACGACTCAGAAAAGAACCTCGTTGATCATTTTGGAATATATTATGAATTCTTTGTGGTCAAAAAAAAAAAAAAAAAAAAACCTCCGACCTGCGACAGCAGCCTATTTGGTGTAGGCAGCTTCATTCCGTGGCTCGCAAGCCTCCACCAACTGGGTCGTTTCATAATTGGGCCTGGACAGGACTTTATGGGCCCAAGCCCGAAAAGGGGGGGGGGGAGTATGCTTCTTATAGTGCACAACGGTAGAGGGGTATGCTATGCTTCTTGTAGTGCACAACGGTAAGATCCCGACTTCGCCCCGACATACTACTTGCACTCGACCCGATGGGCCTCGCTCCCCTACACACCAACTGTGCAAAATGAAAATGAATGTTCTGCTAGAACAAGGGAGCATACATACACCTCCATCTCTTTTGTGTTTTTGCCATGCGGTGAGTAGCGTATCGAGGCCCGATGTTTACTCATCGGGTCGAGTGCAAGTAGTATGTCTTTTGTCTTTTTGCCATGTCTAAAGACCATAGGTCGCTGTGGATTATCTTCTTCTTCTTCTTCTTCTTCTTCTTTTTGCCATGTCTAAAGAGCAGGAAGAGGAAGAGGAGAGTAACATCAACGACAACTAGACATGGCGATGTGGATTATCTTCTTCTTCTTCTTCTTCTTCTTCTTCTTCTTCCTCCTCTGCCATAGCTCGATCTTTTCTTCTTTCCTACTCTCTTCCTCCTCCTCCTCCTCCTCCTCCTCCCCCTCCTTATTCCTCCTCCTCCTCTTCCTCCTCCTCCTCCCCCTCCCCCTCCTTATTCCTTGTTGTCTGTTTTCTCCTCCTCGCTTCTCGCTCCTTGGCGTGGATGGCCCGGGACAAAGTATATGACAAGGAATGAGGAGGAGGAGGAGGAGGAGGAGGAGGCGGAGGCGGAGGAGGAGGAAAGAAGAAAAGAAAGAGATATGGCAGAGGTGTTTGCTGCTGCTCTCCCCGTGGACGTGGCTATGGGATGCAATTTGCGATTGTACTTCTTCTCTCTTCTTTTGCTCTTCTCCTTTTGCTTCTCTCCCTCTTTTTTTTTCTTTTTTTTCTTCCCCTTTGGTGTAACAGCCCACCCTTTCCCTTTGCTCCTCTCTCCCTCCCCTTTTTTTTTTTTCCAGTTGGGTGTTCTCTCAAGGGGCGGGGCTAATGTCTTCCCCCGAATACAACGCACGCTAACTCATCTCGACTGTATCGGGTCGGAAAGATAGCTTGTGTACTCTCATGAGTACCTGGTAGGGCGCATTGCCCTCGGCCGAATGCGGTAGGGTTTGTTGTTGTGTGACACGTGGTTTGAAGTCTCTACCAAATTAATGTCACTCCGCTGGTCACACTACCCGTCTTCCCGCGAGCTCAACGCACCCTCATCATGACTGCATCGGGCTGGAAAGATAGCTTGTATACGTTCGCGTTAAGGGTTTAGGGTTGTGTTCGGGGGGCAAATTAGGGTTTGTTGTTGTGTGACACGTGATTTGAACTCTCGACTGATGTCMCCCCGCCGCTGGTCACTACCGTCTTCCCCCGAACATAACGCACCACGATAATGACTGTACGCAACCTATATTTCCGGTCAGGTTCAACCAAAATGAGGGTGCGTTGTGTTCGGGGGAAGACGGGTAGCCGTCTTCTCTCGAGCACAACGCCAACGCCACCGTCGTCATGACTGTATCGGGGGGGGAAAGATAGCTTGTATACATTCACGACGAGGGGGCGTTGTGTTCGGGAGGCGTTCCCTTGGTTTCCACCAGTCTTTCCCTGAGTACAGCGCACCCTCGTAAAACGATTGTATCTGGCGCGAAAGATAGCTTTTATACATTCGCGTTAAGGGTGGGTTGTGTGTTGGGGTAAAGAC